CAGCCATCATAGCACGGGCGTGACGTCAAATGCATGGCATTGAAAAACCAAACCAATGCGACTGCCACACAAGCAAAAGAACCCGCGCTCAGAATGTGCTGATGGATACTCAACGCAAGACTCTATTCAGAGTTTGCTTCCATCAAGACTGTGGCCAAGGCCTTGTGCTGGTCTACAATGGAGAGCTTTGCTCTGTGCTTGAATTCCCCACAGCCTTTTCTGTCCGAGCACAACGTTTCAAAACCAGACATATTAAGAAATACTGGGTATCTCACTGGAAGAAAGCGCTCGGGGTTGCTAAGCCCTCTCAGGGTCTCTAAGAATGGACCTATGGAATCCTATGGATATATGATATATGATACATCACTCAAAGCAAGTCTTCAAGCAGTCCGGGACCTCAAACTTCCCGCAATCGTTGCCTTGAAGTCGGCCACAGCAATGGCAGCCCGTGGCCAAGAAACAAGCTGGGCACAAGCAGTTGCTACCAAACAAATACCTTAGCCGTACAGGGATCGACTTTACAAAGAGGTCGTCATAAGATTGGGAGATCATCAAGCGCTTGCTACTAGTAGCGTCCTTGCTCCTAGTAGTACGGCCACTAGCCCCTAGTAGCGATGCCCTTGCCCCTAGTAGCGATGCCCTTGCTCCTAATGGGAGATGCAAAAAAGATGCCAAAGTGGATTCTGGATTGCCCACCACCGATCTCGGCCATGTAGGGTGATGTAGACCCGGTGCATCAAGTTCTGCAGTGGTGCCTCATAGTCATAATCGGCAGGGTAGTAATTCGTCACCAGACCTGGAGCTCAAGAGATCCCCGACATAGATCGATCATGGGGTTATGTAGCGCCCTTGATACTAGTAGCTTCTTGTTACTAGCAGCGATGGCCTCCAACCTACTTGCGATGGCCTCCACCTAATAGCGTCCTTGCTACTGGCTCAAAACTCCCATGGAACACCTGCCGCCCCAAAGATTTATCCACAATATTCAGTCATCCCGGCCTCTCATGACATGCATATCGAAGGTATAGCCACCCTCGCGTCGAGTCACCTCCTTCAACTGGATCTGTCGATTTTCCACTTCAAACGGCTCGATGGTGCGAATCCGGGTCTCGTCACATTCCTCATTTTCGAACCATTCGATGTCCTCTTTGATCAAAGACAAACCAAACAAGCAGACCTCAGGAGACACAGTCAAGATAAAACATGACAAAACAAGAAAAATATTTGGATGTATTTCCATGTCCACCGGCTTTCACATATTTGGCCCTCTATGCGGATGTCTGCTTGTCTGACTTCTTTCATTCAAATGCATATGCCCTGCAGGTCGAAAAGTCCCAATAAACCCGGGTCCATTGCCTGAGTAGGGTCTTTATGTGTGACCAGGCAATCCTACAGATCTTTGGGACCCTTCAAGGGTCCTTTCTGCCAAACGACTTGTACATCACCATACCTGAGATTTTGAATCTCGTCCAGAACTCGATTGAAGTCTACCATATCGTTTGCCTCACCGTCCGTCAAGGCCACAATCAGGAGGCTTTTCCTCACAAAGGTACTGGAAACCAATACGGAAAGAACACAAAGGTTCTTAAGCGAAACGAACTGAACCTATGCTGCTTATGCTCCTACACCATTTAGCTTTGAAACGTCAATCAAAGGGTTTGCTCAACACATCCAGGTTTCCCATTGGCAACTGGAGACAAGTCACGCAAGACTTGCCTTATTGTCTGGCTCATCGGGGTCGATCCACCTGACAGAGCAAATACGAGCGAAAACTCGTTCCGGAAAGTGATTGCAAGACAAAGAGGCCAACCCAGGCCCCAAGATGTAGATGACTCTTGTTATTTGCTGGTAGATCTGGATGATTCTAGGCACAACGAAGCCCTTGGGCCTTGGACTTGGGAATCCTTGAACCTCAAACAGCTTTGGACAGCTTGTGGCATCTTGCAGTTACACCACGAATCCCGGTGTGGGAGTTACGAATCCACACCTGCCATGGAGTGAAAGATCTGTTCCAGCTCTGAGAGGCGGCACCGTTTGCCACCATTGAGCATGTAGAGCCAGGGATCCATCTGCAAGATTGAAAACACCTGAGAGGACAGCAACCAAACAGCATCCAAATAGTACCCTACTAGCCGATATATATACTGTATATATATGTATATATGTATATATATATAAATATACACACTTATGTTATATTATACTACATATTCTCTATATGGGTCGTTTGTGTTTTGTCGTGAGCAGTTGCATTTTAGTCGATGTGAAGACAGCCATCTTTGTTTGATTTACGGTTTAGGGGACCTCAAAGTTGAGGTATTGGCAGGTACTGGGTAAAATCTGTGGTCTAGCCTAAGGACATAGTCCAGGGCCTAGAATGGGTCGGCCCCCATCGGTTGTGCAGGTTTCATGCAGGTTTCCTATCTCACGTCCACCCTGTCTCAAACAACTTTTGTCTTCCCAGATTTAGTCGGATGCTCAGATTTGCTCATATGTTCATTTGCACTTTCGCTGTGATCCAGCTATCAAGCTGAGCTACCTGCTTCCAGCACCGCAAGTGGTGACGCGCAAAGAACCAGCGGCAATGATGAGGACTGATGGGGCACTCAGCCGGCCGTGGAGCAGTGTTGCTTGTGAACCAGCCACCTGCGGCTTGTGACGGCTTGTGGAATCCTTCGGACACGACTTGTTTCACAAAAACTAAGCAACCAGTAACCAATACTAGTTATTGTCTGACTTTGCCAATGTCAGCAATTGACGTTCCAACGGGCTATCTTCTAGTAGGTACTGTAGTTAACTCGCTCACGCCTGTTACTGTTTCTCAGGGATGCATTCTTGGGGTCAGCTGGGAAGAGCGGCTCTGAATATGCCTCTTCTTCCAGCGACTAGTTCTCTGTGTGGAAAGTACGCGTAATTGATAAAACCCTGCAAGACGAGCTCATCTGCTTCTCCCACTTGCACATTGAAAGTGAGCCCCACGTCTTTTGGTCGAGGACTTCACCTCCTTAAACGGGGACTCTATATATGGGCCCACTATCCACAGCCCCAGTACTGTAATTCAAACATCCGTGTTACTGTTACATAGGTGGGTTGTTCATGTGGGTGGATGTTATGTGGTTCTCTTTTTCATGTTTTTCTTCTCACCTGGCAAGGACTGCCGCAAGGCTTTCACCAATGCAATAGCATTCCAAGGAGTGGTCGCTGTGATGTCTCGGCGTGGGATACATTGGCCAAACCTGCGATTAGCCGGAGGAAAGAAGGAACCGGATGCTATCTCCGAGGGGTTCGGTGTCTTCTTCCGGAGATTTAGGATGTTCACCAAGTGACTTTGGACTCTAGGCCCTTCAGATTTCTGGTGAAATTCACACCCAAACTCTTCAATGGCGCCTGGGTGACACTTGTGCAAGGGCTAAAAGTGATAAGGGAGCCATCAGCGACATGATGCAACATGACCATGCGACATGGGGTAGCCATAGAAACAGACGCCTTTTAGAAACAAACCCAGTTGGTCTGCCTCAAGTTCTCCCTCAAACCCTTCGCTCTTGTGTCCAGGAGGCATGTCCAGGTTCATTGAACCACTGTCATCCAGCACGAATGCAATCTCCAGGTCGTAGATCAAAGGCGTTAACATGTCGCGGGCCAAACTATGAGCGTGGTCAGTGCCCTGCAGAATCACTTCCAGTTGCCTTACCATGACCTTTTCCTCCTCTGAGAACCAGGAGTCATCTAAGAACCTCATGAAACTTTCACCAAATCAAACGTTGGTCCAAGTTTGTCCAAGCATCCATGAGAAGCCGAAGACTAGCGAATGAAGCAACTTTGACGTGGTTCACCCTTAATCTTACGCCGTTTTGATTCTCATAAACTCATACAGTATCTCTTTACACAAAAACACATCACGTATTCAACAACCCTGAACCTGGGTGGATAAAGTCCAGATCCACTCACCATCTGATCCATGAAAATCTTGGGCTTTCGATGCATCCTCCAGGCTTGGGCAAATGCTTAAACACACACACTGCCAAAAAGAGAACCCTTCAATAGAGCTGCAAACATCTGCCCTTCAAGGGTCGGGTCACCCTCCATTCCGGTTATCAAATACATCACAATTTGGTTTGCTTGTCGAATCACTTCCAACATGGAACACAACACCACAGGTCCTCCATTCACGCTTTTGACCCCAATCACGCAACAGTTTCCGCCGCTCAACGGCCCAATCTTCTCCCGATCGGAGCCCATTTTCCGGGATCTCCACACCGCTCCGTTGCCGCTCCATCCCTGCCGTCTCCGGTAGTTCCTGGTAGATGCTTTGGGGTCCAATCTCCCAAGGCGCCAATGGAGGAGCAGAAGGAATCATATCAACGTGGTCCAAAAGAGGCGCAGTCAACGAATTCCCCTTAGATCACGCTTTCCTCTGGGCAAAGTATTGTCTACAAGCTTGGTCGCCGACGCGGCCTGATGGTGAGCTATGGCTATAACTATTTAAAATGTTTTGATTGAAAGGAACAGGCCTAGACGAACAATATGGTCATTCTTAGAGTAAGTCAGGCAAAATGAGAAACCCTCGTCAGCCCTCGTCGTACACTAGCCTGGGCCATTCACTCTGAAAGTGAGTGACAGCTCTTTTGAGGTGAACACATGTTTGCTGGCTGGGGAACTCTACTGCACTTGAGAAATGCCAGGCTGCTGGTTCAGGTTAGACAAATGGAGATGGAATCAATGATGGCAAGTTGCTGTCATCATCTCTTCTTGTGGAGGCTTGGAGATGGGAGCAGGAGCTGCAGCCATCGACGAAAGTGCAGCACAAAGGGCATAGTTCCTAATCGTAGTGGAGGTGGGCTCATGTGGGAAAACAAAGACATTGCATGAACTAAGTCATCCAGCTACCATTCCAAATTACACCAATGCCGACCTCCACATTCAGTTCCACAAGTGGTCACCCAAAGGTCTGAAAGAATGAAAGGGGAGGGGGTAGGAAGCTAGTAGTAACAAGTGCATCGCTAGTAGTAACAAATGCCTTACTAGTAGTAACAATAAGCTATTAGAATTAAATCAAAGTAAATTAACAGCTTCTTGTTACTACTAGTAAGGCACCTGTTACTGCATGCAACTGTTCGGATTCTGTTCTTGGTGCGGATTTGTGTTCTTCAAGCGTCGTGCGCACGTCCGATGCTGCAGTTGTCTCTCGGCAGAGAGGGCACTCAACTTGTTGGGCATCACTTCCCAGCAAAGTCACACAGGAGTCGCAAATGGTATGGCCACATGCAAAGACTTTTGGAAGATGAAGGCCAGATTCAGTGAAGTTGCTGAAGCACACAGGACACTCCATCTTGTACCCCAGGGAGCCCAGTTGCCTCAGTCTACACCATCAAGACTATAGTTAAAACCAGTCTCACTGGATCTCACTGGACTCCCTGGGCGGGAGAGGCCACCAGGCCGACCTAAAATGGCGGCTTGGACCAAAATGCACAGGTCGCAGGGTGACGGATCCTATGAGCAAAATGGGACATGCTGGTTGACCATCGAGAAGGAACAGAATAGACTACGTACCTGGGAGGTCAACCTGCCTTGGTTTGGGGCTCCTGGTTTTGACCCACAGCCAAATATCGCATTGGATGGAGCCCAAGAGCTCCTGTGCTGGACTGTTAGGTTTGTCGGCAAGGACATTCCTTTCAACTTTCGGGATCCATTTTGGCAGCAAGGCTTGGACGCCTTTCTATTTTGCATTGGATTCCACTCTTATTTGGAAGGGCCTTTGTGCCGAGAGGTTTTCGAGTCGAAATCATATATCATCATATCGCTTGACTCAACGTTCCCCTTTCTGAAGGGGCAACCTTATCGCTAAACCCCAACTGTGCCATACCGCTGACGCAGCTCGAACTCGCCCAGCTCTGGGCCTGGTTGTACTGCCGAGTTCTCACCGCGTCGCGGATCGCAACTCGGAAGATGCCAAGCTCCTTCTCCTGCTCGGGCCTCGGAAACCAGGTGTGGGATGACCCGGTTCGACAGCTCAGCACTCAGCTGCAAAGAAGCTTGGACGGCTGTAATTTCCTGTATCTTCTTTGGATGGTTGTATTCAATGTGGTGATACTGAAATATATTTCAGTAAGCTCACACATGGTTTGCAGGAAGTTGGTGCTCCTTGCGTGGTATCCCATGCTGGCAAACTCCAGGAGGTGCTTTAGGCTTGCTTTGGGTGATGTTGGGATTGGTTTGTTGCAGTTGACTGCAGCTGAAGTATAAACTCCTCCTGACGCACCTGTCGTCGCCTTTGGGAGATTAAACTGAAACAAAACTTTCGCTTAAGCTGGACAATGTCGTAAGCTGCAAAAATGTATATGCGAGGAACTAGTCCAGGAATGCAGCTTGGCAGCTGGACTTGCCATGGGGTTGACTGCTCATTTGGCAAACAAAAGCTCATCCATGGCTCTTGTCCAACAGCGGCGCCTTTGAAACAGTCAAATCAAAGAGATGCAACTCAGGTCACAACGATG